CCTGCTGTCATGGCGGAGAATGTGTTGAACTCCCTGCCTGGCCTTGGTTACCTCTCAGAGCCTTGGTTTCTCAACCGGCACGATATGGATAATCTTCCCTGCTCTGCGGGCTTGCGTGGATGCTGCTCTGCAAGCCGTAAACCTCTGTGCAAACACTCATGTGCTCAGGGACAGATCCTGTTGGTCCTGAGGGAATTTACAGCGCTTGAGACCAAGTCGCGAATCAGCTAAATTTTGCCATCCAAACGAAGGTGGCAGAGTCGACGTGGAGCCTGGTGACAAAGACATTCACCTTGTGGCCCTCAGAGCCGTGTGCTGGGTGTCTGTGGAGTGTGTGAGCTGCTTGGCTTGTTCAGTGTGAAATTTAATTTGGGCTCCTGGGTGAGCAGGGAGGAGGGCGTGAAAGATATGACACTGGTTAATTTCATGTTTTACAGGCCCAGCAACCCCAAAAGTATATTTCTCAGCGAAAACTGAGAACCTGCAGGCCACTGCATGCAATGATATGCAGTCCAGGGAGAAAATAGAGATAGTGAGAGGAAAAAAAAAAAGCCTCAAGAATATATCATTTCCTGAAATCAAATAAACTTACAAGCTTCCTTCTCAATGGGTGAGACTGACAGGCAGAGAGAGAAAGGCGAAAAGAGGGTTTCTTTTAACTCTTGCCAATACATTTTCACGTAACTGCAAACACTCCTCAGGATGGCATTCCAAGTGCCTCGCCTCTGTCCTCATCCATCTTTCTGTGGGCAGATCGGATCATATTTCGCTCTTTCTTGCTGCCTTGCAGATAATAGCGTAAGACTCAGCCTCCAAATCGTGGCAGCTGTCCCTGCACTTAAGTCCTGCATCACGTCCCCTTCTGCTCTCACCCCCACCCAGAGCTGACTCCACCAGCAGCGCCGATCGATGAGTTCCCAAACCTGCCGGCTCTCTCTGATCGCCATCTCTACACCTGTATATTTATAGGTTCCTTCTCCCTGGGATTTCTTCTACTTTTGCTCTTTCCTAGGTTTCAGGAAAACTCAGTCTGTACAGACAGCAAATAAGGGCCAAGACTTTGGTGTAAAGTAGACCTGATATTAGGTTTCCCTAGTGGCTTGGTAAAGAACCTGCCTGCAGTGCAGGAGACCCGAGTTTGATCCTTGCATCAGGACAATCCCCTGGAGGAGGGAATGGCTACCGGCTCCAGTATTCTTGCCTGGAGAATCCCATGCACAGAGGAGCCTGGAAGGCTACAGTCCATGGGGTTGCCAAGAGTTGGACACAACTGAATGACTAACACTTTCACTTTTTTCAAGCATGCTAATTTTATTGGCTTCCATCACATCATCCTATGGTCCCTGGTTGTTTTGGAGATTCAATTGGTTAATGTATATAGTGGAGCACAATGCCTGGCACATGGAAAGTAGTTGGTAAGTGGCTTGTTTTTTTTTATGAATGTAGCTCGAATATTACTGCCTCTATGAAAGCTTCTTTCATTTCCACATTCAGGATCAAAGTGCTGGTTCCATCGCTCCATAAATGATCCAGTTGCATCTTGAATGTGCATCAATTACTGCAAACATTATGTTGAATATTGTACTTAATAGTCACTTTTGTGGGCCCCCACCCCCATTACACTGTGTGTTTAGGTGCATGGGTCAGATTTGCCCATCTTTATATGCTCAGGGCTTAGCCAAATACCCAATACAAAGTAGATACTTGATTTGTGTTGGCCAAACTAATGAAAGAGAGAATGAATACATGATTACATGCATGGATTACCTGCAAGGGCTGGACCAAGTGCCAGCTCTCCCAGGACGTCTTCTTTGTCTTTATCAACAGAATGGAAGATCCCCTCCTCTGACATACCTCTTTGCCCAAATCCTGCCACCTTCATGTTGTGACTGCCACAACATGAAGGCTCCATGTCTTATTAACCCCTGTCAAGCCATCATCATGATTGTTATTATTAGCACAGGACTTGGAACATAGTAAGAACTCAGTATATGCTCTTTTTCATCATCCTTCTCCTTCTCCTCTTCATTATCATTGTTTCCAGGGTAGCCAATATTTGGGATTTCATCAGAGTCAGGATGGGGGAAGAGTTTGCTAGATGCAGAGGTGGCCATGAGGCTAGGTTTAGTGCGCAGACCACACACACACAAAGACATACAGTGGCAGGAATCTCTGAAAGACTGTCCATGGTAGCCACAGAAAGTCAGCATCCAGGAGAAACTGTGAAAACGTAAGAAAACACGAAGTCCTTTAGCTAGATGGATACTTGTAGGCAAGAAGGCTTGTGTCAGCTTGTGAGAACAGCATCACGGGCCATTTTGATTCTGTTTAGGAAGCTATCAATTGTGAGTTTTTGAACAAAGAAAAGCTTTGAAACCATTACAGATAAACAAAGCAGGAGGTCCAAATAGTTATTGGACTAGTGCATATGTTTTTGGAACCATTTATAGAGTATGTTTGATGTGAAGGGAAATAATTACAATATAATTTAGTGTGTGTTTATCATGTGTCAGTTCCTGCTCTCAACCCTATATACATATCAAGAAAGTATTGCTGCTCTCATTGGAAAAGGGAGACTCATGCTAAGTGAGTAATTTGCCCAAGGTCTTATGGGTGGTAAATGGTGAACTTGGATCTGTACCTGGGCAAGTGACTTCAGAACTCATGTTCTCTGTGTATATAAAAAGGGTCTGTGGGTATTAGGAGTAGCTGAGAGGCAAGCGCATGCAGCGTGGTTTCTGAAAAACATACTCAACAGGTGTTTGCTGAGTGCCTACTGTTGGGCCAGGTTTTCTGCTGGGTTCACAGAGTGATCCCAGGATGAATGGATGACACAGTCCTGCATTCAAGAAGCTTACAAGCTTGGTGAGGGAGCGGGTGGATCCAAATAGATATTAAGGAATTCAGCTCAGTTTCATAAACTCCAGTACCGTGGGTCCTGTGTTGGGTGCTGTGTCCAGTCTGGAGAAATAGAATGCGGAGGAGGACATGATCCAGGCTTTTGGGTTGCTCAGATAGTATCAGACGGCGGTAAGTTTTGTAATTAACACACACCAGTCATCACATGCTTGTTCAGCACCAGCTTCCTCTCGGTATAAATCCAAAGCCCACCGTGTTGAGCCCACTGCATCGTCTCCTGGCCTCTGGCTACTTTCTTTTGTCCTTTAGAAGGAATGCCCTTTCAGGTGTGGGTCTTGTCCTCAGTGTTGGCGCTGCTGCAGTGGCTGGGCCCGTTCCAGGCCCCACCCACTGAACCTGCCTTATCTTGATGCGTTTAATCAACTACTGATACCGTATGGGTTATTGTGTCTGCCAGACCCAACCACTCCTACTAGACAAAAACGCCCCACTTACAGAACCCTACTGTTTGGGGACAGATATTAATCAGGTCAGGAATAGTCACCTGACCTGAGAAGACTTACGTGTTAGCTGATAGTGAAGCATGAAATAGCTTGTCCTAGAGGGTGAGCTGAATACATCAGATTTCTTCTTAGAAAAGTCGGGCTGGAAGGACAGGAGGATTAGGTCAGCTGTAAACAGGCAGAGAAACACCCCGTTCAGTCGGCAGCGGAGCACTTGGTAAGGATTTGGAAAGCTGAGCTGGCTGAATGACTGTGCGCTCTGCTCCCTTGGAGCTGGCATAGTCACCAGTGCCTGGGCTCCCAGAGTGGGTCCCTGACGACCTGAATTAGCTCCCGTGGCTCACTGTCCCTGGAAGCCGGAATTGGTGGGTTGGGTCACGCCCCTTCTTGTTCTAGTGTGTGTTAGTGTTAGTCACTCTGCCGTGTCCGACTCTTCGTAGCCCCGTGGACTATAGCCCATGCATGGCATTCTCCAGGCAAGAATACTGGAGTGAGTTGCCATTTCCTCCTCCAGAGGATCTTCCTGACCCAGGGATCCAACCCTGGTCTCCTGCATTGTAGGCAGATTCTTCACCATCTGAGCCTCCAGGGAAGCCCCAGTTCTAGTGGGTGGAGACAAATCAAAGGAAGCAACTGTCCGTGGGCTCCTCCTAGAGAAGCCATTGACCACTTGTTGATGATTATCCTCCATCTACACGCACGCACGCACGCACACACACACACACACACACACACACACACGTCGTTCCTTCTCCGTCTGCCCCAACCCTCACCCCACGCCATTCTCTCCGTTGTGCTAAGTCACTTCAGGCGTGTCTGACTCTTGGCACCCCCGTGGACCACAGCCTCTAAGACTCCTCTGTCCATGGGATTCTCCAGGCAATAATACTGGAGTAGATTGCGATGCCCTCTTCCAGGGCACCCTCCTGACCCAGGGGTGGAACCTGTCTCTTACGTCTCCTGCACTGGCAGCCGGGTTCTTTACCACTAGCACCACCTGGGAAGCCGCTCTCTCTGTTGAGAGGGAATGGATGATTCTGATGAGAGTTACTAACCAAGAGGGTTTTATTGGGTATTCCCTCTTCCAAAGTAGTGAAGTCACTTCAGGAGAGTCATATGGGAGTAGATTAATACATTGTCTCTTGAGCATCCACCGTGGGCCAAGAATACAAAGATAAAAACCACTGCCCTGCAGGACTGCCCAGACTTGTGAGAGAAGCAGCATTGTGAACGGACATTCATACTCTAGGGAGCCCTGCACTTGGTGGGGGACACTGGCTATCAGGCAGGCAGCGACTCACTTAACTTGGCCTGAGGGGAGAGGGTAGGTGTGAGCACATGTCGCGGGGCCCATCACAGGGGGCTCTGGAAGAGGTGGTAAATGAGCTTGGTCTTTAAACAGGAGTAGGGGGTTCTCATTGCCAAGGGTGGGAAGGAAAAGAGCCAGGGGAGATCCTGAAGATGGGAACAGCATATGTGAAGACCTCAAGGCGCAGGAGAAGTAGCTCTTCGCCGGAGAGCAGAGAGGGGTCTGCAGAGATGGGCGGGTGAGTGTCTGGAGGGTAGCTCCGACGGCCCCTTGAGGAGGCTGACTTTTCCCGAACGCCGCTGGGAAGAGGCCAGTGTCCAGTTTTAAGCATGGAAGTGGCGGCGAGTTTGGTGACTGTTGGTCTCCTGGATCGGAGCAGACGTCTGGTAGCAGGAATCCGGAGGAGCTCGGCAGAGCTCCAGGAAGTTTACGAAGAGGAGAGCGACCTGACTGAGGATGGCGTGTGTGCCCCGCGTCCCAGGGAGTCACAGGTGTGTGAGCAGGAGTCTCGGCGTCTCCAGACCCGGGTGAAATCCCCCCCCTCTCGTGACGTGAATGTATGGCTGTGAGTGAACCCTGTCACTTCTTAGGGCTTCAGTTTTATGACTTGAAAGTTGAAGAACAGGCCTTGGGAGTATCAATTGTGAAAGGCCTTGATGTATTTTAAAAGGCTACTCATATGCTGTCTGTCCACACTTTATTGGTTAATTATAAGTGGTTCAAGTTGTGTGAGTAGGTGTCGTGTGTGTGTCCTTGTGTGTTGTGCAGACTCAGAAGCATTTTTGCAGTTTGATGGTGAGCCTGAGAGACAGCTGAGACCATAGGTATACCTCGAAACTAAGAGGAAAGGTGCCCCCCCTCCGAAAACCCTCACTCTCCATGAGACTGAAACGCCCTGCTCCCTGGAGAACATCCCGCAGCCCCAAGCTCGGTCCTTGGAGCAGAAGCCTCAGGTCGAAGCAGGGTATGGGGCTTTCATCCACACGTTCGTCCCTGTAATTAGAAGATCCTTTCAGAGACACAAAGCCTCTCTGAACTGGACAACGCTTAGGCTGCTGCTGGCTGATGCCCATGTCCCCGCCCTTCCTGCTGGCGTGTTCTGGAGCCAGGAGCTTGCATCCTCCTTGCCTCATCTCTTGATCGCTCCCCTCTCCAACTCACTGCACATTTCCTTGTTTGGTTTGATCTTGAGTGATGTACTCCGTCCTTCTTCCGCTGAGACCTTGCTTTCCTTACTGTTCTCTCGCTCTCTGGAACATCTGTCCCTGCTCACTTGGCCCAGCTGTGTCACACGCCCGTTTCATGCCCCTCACATCCATCCCATCCTCCCAGTGGCCTTCCCTCACCCTTCCCTAGCCCCGGCCGTCTGCCCAGCTTACCCCAAGGGTGAGTCCTCCTATCTCCCCAGCCTCCTTCCTCACCAAGTGGAGTTGCTTACGGAATCAGTTTTGTAACTTCCTGTTTGTTTAATATCTGTCTTTCCTTGTAGACCAGTGGCTGTCAACATATGGCGGTTTTGTCCCCAAGGGACATTCGGCAACACCTGGAGATATTCTGGGTTCACAACTGCTCCGTGCTGTCTCAGGGATACGGCTCCATTCCCCGTAATGCACAGGACAGCCCGCTCCCAACTGAGAATCTGGCTCAAAATGTCAGGCGTGCCATAGCCTGCGGGCGTGACGTGGAGAGACCACATTCATAGCCTCACGTCCTGCACTCGGCCACAAGCACGTGGACTGGCCTGTCATTGTCGAGGCACCCAGTCGTGTCTAACTCTTTGCAGCCCCACGGACTGCAGCATGCCAGGCCTCCATGTCCCTCACCAGTGGATGCTTAATCAATTTCTGTGGACTGTTACACACACACACGCATGTCGGTCTTGTGAGCAAAGTCATGCTCGCGCCTGCCTTCCTCCCAGTGGCCACTTCTGTTCTTCCGTATACAGGACCCCACACCCTTAGGTTGTGATTCCAAGTAAAGCTACAACTTATATGTACATGCCTCATTCCACCTACTGTGTAATTCACCACTTCCTCAACAGGGAAGTCGTCTTACCAGCTTCCAGCTAGCCCCACACTGATCCCACAGCCACACCCGTGTAGGTGTAACTGCATGTACGTGTAGGTATACCCGTGCGTGTCCACGTAGGTGTGGCTGCGTGTACACTTAGGTATACCTGCGTGTGTACCCCTGCCCAGAGACCTGGCACATTTCCCTTCATCTGCACTTCCTCTCCCAAGACACATCAGCTTTGCAGCTGAGGCTTTCTCTTCTTTATCACATAAAGCAGGTGCCAACCAACAGGCCCGCACAGACACGCAGAGGAACACACACTAGTACTGCAGACCAGAAGACTGGGTGAGGGAAGGCACGGCATAGAGGGAGGCCCAGAGCACTTAACAAAATCTCCCTGTGGCCCCATCTGAGCTGTGGGACTGTGAAATGTGTGCCATTAAAACTCGATCTGAAACCAGACTTCAAGCAGAGGTAGCAAATCCAACTCCTATTAAATCCTCTGTCTCTCTGTCTCACCATCTCTGTCTCTAACACGCACAGACACACACACACACAGACACCCACCCCTTTACAAATTTTCTTTTTTTAAAAAAAGTCAAACCGCAGAAAATAATTTTAATCAGCGTCATGTCAGTGTGGGCTGAGGGTGAAATAGGATATTAATGCTTTTATCTCTGCTGGGGACATGGCTGACTTCACCACTGATTCCGTTCGAAGTCGCACCCCAGGTGTGTTCCCATAGCATTTCTGCATTAAGCAGCTGCGAGACCAGATCTCACATCTTTTATTATCTCGGCAAAGCTGCACGCGCCGAGTGCCGGGGCCATAATGAAAAGATCCAATACCCCATTAGCACAGCTAAATATTTGACTTCTAAACTCAAGTGGAAAATGAAACTCAGTGCCTGGAGAGGAGCGGGGAAGGGGCTTCACCGTCTGAGGACTGGACCTCAGTGGCTTCTGGCCCTGCAGCACCTCGTGGTTTGCAGAGCCTCGCACATGCATCTTTTCTCTGAACATTCACCACTGCCCCCTGGTGCGGGCGTTCTGAGCCCTCCTTCGCAGCCAGGGAGCTGAAACTTGGGGAGATCAAGTGGCTTGTCCAGACCCCACATGGCCCGACTCCAGGCAGTTTTGGTCGGCAAAGTGGGAGCCCCAGTAGCTTTTATTTATTCAACTTTAATTAATTATTTTTGGTGGTACTGGGTCTTTGGTGCTGTGCATGGGCTTTCTCTAGCTGCAGCAAGCTGGGACTACTCTTCACTGTGGGGCCTGGGCTTCTCTCGGGGGTGGCTTCTCTCACTGCATTGCAAAAGCGCGAGGGCCCACGGGCTTCAGTAGCTGTGGTACATGGGCTTGAGTTCCTCCAAGGATGTGAAATCTTCCCAGCCCAGGGCTGAACCTGTGTCCCCGAGCATTGGCAGGCAGCTTCTTATTCACAGGACCACCAAGGGAGTCTCTGCCACAGTAGGTTATAGTCCATGTCAGTTCTCTGTTTCTTTTCCACCCTCTGGCTCAGACTGTTGTGTTATATTGAGAATTTTCTCAACAGAGAATATGGTTTCCATTTCACATGGGGGGAAACCTGCCTTCCTGCCTTCCCTCTTCTCTCCCTCCCAGCACAATTGTATTGAACCCCTGCTGCTACGATATGCAGCTCCAGGCTGGATGCTCGGGATAGAGCATCCTAGAGAGGGACTGAGGTGGTCCCTGTCATCATGAAGCTTCCCATCCATCTAGCAGGAGGGACAGGGGGCATTTCTGAATGTAAGGAACAGAGAAATACAAGGAGCCAGAAGAACTGAGGGGATGTGAGGAGGATGGCTTAGGGAAGGCTTCCTAAGAAAATGACCTCAAAGCCGAAATTCATGTGGGGATCAGCTGTGAGGAGGGGAGGAGATGAGAGTTTCCTGGAAGAAGTATCATGTGCAGATGCTCAGAAGTGTAAGGGGACGTGCTGACTTCACGCTCTGAGAGCAGTCCATTGTGAAGGGGAGGGAAAGCTGATAGTAAATTGGCCAGAAAAGTAGACAAAGGGTAGACCTCAAGGGAGTTGGGGAACCGAGCTGAGAGGCTGTTGTGAAAGTTGCTGGTGGCTGCGGGAAAGGAGGGCACTTTCTCAAGCTTTAATATATGAATAAACCCACTGAGGCATGCAGATTCTGATTACAGAAATCTGGGACGGAGCCTGAAATTCTGCCCTTCTCACAAGCTCCCAGGCGATGCACAAGGTGTGGTCCACAGACCGCACTTGAGGGAGAAAGCCTGGACGGTGCTATCTGACTTGGTGTCCCCTGAGCGCATGTGGCTGCAGAACAACCGAAACACCCTCTGTTCAAACTGAGATGTAACTGGAGTGTGAAGCCGGCACCGATTCTGAAAGCTTTGATAGAAGAAAAAAAAGTTAAAATGACCTCTTAGTAATGTTTTTATTTATGTTTTGCATGTTGAAATGATAAAATTTTGACATAAGGGGTTAAATAAAGTGTCATTAAGATGAATTTTGCTTGCTTTTACCTTTTGAATGTGGCTAGAAAAATGTCAGTTACAGATGTTGATTACATGTTAACCTCTTTGGGATAGACAGGTTAATTTAAATAAAATGATTCCTAAATTTGATTCTACCTGTTTCTTTTCCTTCTGTAAATACGGGTCCTAGGAGATTTCGGATCACCCTCGTGGCTTGCGTTTTATTTCTGCTGGTCTGTACTGCTCTGGGCCTGATTTTCCAAAGCCCCGTGCTGGTTATAGTTCATATATTGATACAGATGATTCATATATTCACACAAATGTGAAGCGAGCAAGGATTCTCCTCTGCTTGCCTCTCTGATCTCTGAGGAATTACCCTAATTCTAGTTACCTAAGGAATTTCAATCTCCAGACAGTTCTGGTGGCAGCCCAGCAATTCGGGCCTTCTCTTAAACGAGGCACCTCCCCCCTTCTCTGCGGGTTCCTCTTTCAAAGTTGGACACAATACATTTAGAAGAGTCTTCATTCATTCTAATTTCCCCTAAACACCCCTCTGGGCAGGAGAAACAGTTTGTAGAAACATTGCCTAATGAGTCCTACTAAATCAGAAGGGAGTTCAAGGCTGACTTTTGATGGGACAGCTTGCACCTGGACAGCGTCACTCTGGTTTCATACATTTTCAAACAGGAAGGGCTTCAGAAGTCACTGTGTTCAGTTTCACAGATATTGGCATAGAGGTGGGAGTGCCTTAGTCGAGACTGTAAAAGGCAGTTAGTGGCAGAGAAGGAAAGAGCTCAATATCTAGACTTCCAATCCTTGCATGGCCACAGTGCAATAGTGTTGACATAAGGCCCAGCCAAGGACATCAGTGTTGCTCCACTGACTAGCAAAACCAGAATGAGCAAGCCACTGCTCTTGGCCTTACTTAAATTCAGTGTGAATTTGTAAGTACAGGTCAATGTGAACATTGCAACTATAAGTGCAGTGTAAGTGGGGCTGTGATTCTCAGCGTTTTTCTTTCTCATCTGGTGGTACACGCTTTCATGCTTGGGGGAGTTTTGTCTTTTATTTCTATATCCCT